AGTTGAATGCACTCTTAATTGATACCATGTCTTTTTATTAAGAGAAGTCATATCGTAAAATATACCTGTCCTTCAGATTTTAATTTTATTCATAGGATCCAAAATAAAGGCAATAAATGCTCGTGAGTGAGCAAAACTGCTCTATTTGTTAAATTTCTCTTCCAGGGAATGTATAGCATTGCATACACTTGGTTTTTACGAGATATTACTGCTGATAGTGCTGTGGTGAGTTGTGTTGAAGCTTCTGACATAATATTAGGTTTATTTATTTATTTATTAAATCTGTTTATTTGGGTTTTTTTAAAATTATTTATTTATTTATTTTAGAGAAAGAGTGCGCGATCAGGGGGAGGGGCAGAGATAGAGAAAGAGGGAGAGAAGCAGACTCCCCGCTGAGCACAGAGCCTTATGCAGGACCAGGGCTCCATCTCCCTACCGGAGATCAAGAGTCCCATGCATTTCCAATCCAGCCAGCCAGGCACCCCATAATTTTAGATTTAAAAAACCGAGAGTAGTCTAATTAGAGCCCAAAGGCCCACATGATGAGGCAAGATTCCTCCAGGAAAAACTCTGTAGCTAGTCATATGTGAACTACTTACATCAAACTATAGAGTCTGTCTTAATTTTCACATTAATTGAGCTATTAATATGCACTGTTGAGATCTTAAATTGAGCTTTAATATCATTTTCTTGTTTTAAGACCTAAAGGATGATGAAAAAGAATACTTCTAAATTTTCTACACTTTGGGCTTCTGTTACTTATTGCATGAGAATCACCAGCTAAATGCTTGCTTATTTAGCAACAAGGACCTTGGCTTATTCATTCCAGTGTCACCTGCAAGAAGTGGTACAATAGCCTCACTGAGGCAGGAATGAATAATATTCACTGAGTTGCAATAGCAGCAATAAACAATAACAATAGTAATAGCTAATATTTCCCTCTGCTCACTATGTACCAAAACCAGCGTGGGTGCCTTCAGTGCCTGGTTTTATTTCACCCCCACCAAATCCCTGTGAAATAAATCATTTCCCTCTTTCAAATGTGGAAGGTGAGCCCTAGAGAGGTTAAGTCACTTGCTCAAACTTTTTCAGCTATGAAAGCACAGTCTCGATTCCAGAGTCTTGGATTCCTTATGAAATATCTACGTTTTACAGCTGAGGAAACAGAGGCTCAGGGAAGTTAAGTAACTTGCTCAGGGTCACACAGCTAATAAGTGGTAGAACCTGGATTTGAACCCAGGCAGTCTGTTCTCTTTATGCACTACACTGATTCACAAAAGGATAAACTTTAGGCATACCTCAGATTTGTGATACAATTACATAAAGTTGACTATATGAAATTGAAGGCTAGTTGATCACTAAATGTAATGAAGAAGTTTAAATGTCAGCTCTCAAGCCTTTTTTTTTTATTATTATTTTAGTAGTAAGGTATCTTTCCAAGACAGAACTTACTTCAAATCCATAGTGATAACTCGTTCACCACTCTGGAAAATCATAATACAGAAACTGCACATTAACTTCTAACTTATAAAGAATTTACATTTAGGCCTTAGGTTTCCTAACTCCTGTCCTCTTTCCCACACTTTCCCTGTGCCCCCTCTGGGCACCGAATTTCCCTCTACTGTTTCTAAGGTAGTTTCCAAAACAGTGGTTCTCAGCCTTGCCTGTGCACTGGAATAACTTGAGTTTAAAAAATAAAAACAAACAAAACAAAACAAAACCCCTCTCATTTGGGGCAAGAATATGCAATTGGAAAAAGCAGTCTCTTCAACAAATGGTGTTGGGAAAAATGGACAGCTACACGCAGAAGAATGAAACTGGACCACTTTCTTACACCATACACAAAAATAAATTCAGAAGGGATGAAGGACCTAAATGTGAGACAGGAAACATCAAAATCCTAAGGGAAAACACAGGCAGCAACCTCTCAGACCTCAACCGTAGCAACTTCTTGCTAGACACGTCTCCAGAGGCAAGGGAAACAAAAGCAACAATGAACTATTGGGACTTCATCAAGATAAAAAGTTTCTGCACAACAAAGGAAACAATCAACAAAATTAAAAGCAACCTACAGAATGGGAGAAGATATTTGCAAATAACATATCAGATAAGGGTTAGTATCCAAAGTATATAAAGAACTTATCAAACTCAACACCCAAAAAATTAATCTAGTTAAGAAATGGGCAGAAGACATGAAACAGACATTTTTCCAAAGAAGACATCCAGACGGCTAACAGACACATGAAAAGATGCTCAACATCACTCATCAGCAGGGAAATGCAAATCAAAACTACAATGAGGTATCACCTCACACCTATCAGAATGGAGAAAATCAAAAACACAAGAAACAAGAGGTGTTGGTGAGGATGTGGAGAAAAAGGAATGCTTATGCACAGTTGGTGGGAATGTAAGCTGGTGCAACAACTGTGGAAAGCAGTACGGAGGTTCCTCAAAAAGTTAAAAATAGAACTACCCTATGAGGTGCCTGGGTGGCTCAGTTGTTAAGCGCCTGCCTTTGGCTCAGGTCATGATCCCAGGGTCCTGGGATCAAGCCCCGCATCGGGCTCCCTGCTCAGCGGGAAGCCTGCTTCTCCCTCTCCCACTCCCCCTGCTTGTGTCCACTCTCTCAATGTCTCTCCCTCTGTCAAATAAATAAATAAAATCTTAAAAAAAAAATAGAACTACCCTATGATCTAGTAATCGCACTACTGAGTATTTACCCAAAGAATATGAAAACACTAATTTGAAAGGATACATGCACCCCTATGTTTACAGCAGCATTATTTACAATAGCCAAGATATGGAAGCAACCCAAGTGTCCATTCATAGATGAATGGATAAAGAAGATGGAAATTACTCAGCCTTAAGAAAGAACGAAGTCTTGCCATTTGTGACGATGTGGCGGGAGCTAGAGAGTATAATGCTAAGTGAAATAAATCAGTCAGAGAAAGACAAATGCCATGTGATTTCACACCTTTGTGGAATTCAAGAAACATAACAAGTGAACAAATGGGAAAAAAAAAAGGCACAAACCAAAAAACAGACTCTTAACTACAGAGAACAAACAGAGGGCTACCTGAGGGAAGGTGGATGGGGGGATGGGTGAAACAGGTGAAGGGGATTAAAGAGTACACTTATCATGATGAGCCCTGGAGTGACGCATAGAATTGCTGAATCACTTTATTGTGCACCTGAAACTAAGACAACACTGTATGTTAACTATATTGGAATTAAAATAAAAAACTTAAAAAAAGAAAGAATTTAAAATTCATTTGGGCTCTATCCCCAGCATTTCTGATTCAGGTGATCTGAGGCATACCCCATGCACTTGGAGTTTCGGAAGCTGCCAGGAGATGGAAGGTACGGCTCAAGTTGAGAACCAGCGTTTCTCAACCTTGGCTCTATTGACATCCAGTGTTGGCTAATTCTTTGCTGTGGGAGACTGCCCTGTGTGCTATAGAATGCTTAAGAGGGTCCCTGACCTTTATCTGCTAGATGCCAGTAGCAACTTCCCCAGTTGTGACAACCAAAAATGTCTGTAGACTTGATCAGATGTCTTGGGGGAGGCACAAAATCTCCCCTATTGAGAACCTCTCAGACAGGAAAATACGTAATGATGCCAAGGGGATCTGTTAGAAAACCCTCTTGTCATTGGAGGAAATCTAATCAGGGTGCCTTTCTTTCTTTTTTTTTTTTTAAAGAATTTTTATTTCTCAGGAAAGAGATGGTATATCTCTTCAGGAGCATGGTAGAGGAAAGTATCTTCGAGAATAGGGAATTAAGGAAAGGGTACAGATCTTTCTTGCTGATCTGAAGCACAACAGAAGGAAACTAAATCTTTTTTTAATGAGCGTGAACAGTGTGGCTGGATGAAATATTATCTCTTGCTGAGGAGTTGCTGCCAACAAGATAAAGTGGAGGAGATAAAGCAAGGACTGGGACTGAATGGATGTAAATGCTGAATGTTTCCTCAGCTCCTGGAAGGCTTGGCCACCAAACTGATGATGATGGAGTGAACAGAAATGGATGAGAGTCTAGGTACGTGGATAAGAGCAGAGTTAGAGGAGGTTGTTCTGGAAAGGTTGGAGTTTGGCAATAAACTATTTGAGTGGTCGTCTTAGTTTGGGTCATCTGAGAGAAGAGCCCAGGAAGCACCACAGGAGAGTGGGGAAGGGAGGGGAGAGAAGCTAATCATAAGTGCATTATTGGACGTCGCCGCCGGGGGCTGTGGAGCTTCATTCATCCTTCTGGAAGTTGCAGGGGGCCAGGGCCAAACATAGGCCCCAGAGGTGTGGGGCAAGAGGGCTGGCATGTTTATCTACGAATTCCTGTGAGTCACTGGCTGAGGGCTGTGTCCAGGGCTATACAATCCCAGCACTTTCGCTAGCTTCTGGTTTGGGCCTTGGGCAGGCTTGCAGGTGTGGTGCAGGCAACTGGATTTGGCTGGTCAGCAGCGGTTGGTGCTTGCTGGTGGGAGATGGGCGGGCCACTAGCAACTTCCTGTTACACTGGCCAGTTTCAACATTTGTTTAAAGGTATTGACTGCTTTGCTAGTTAACAGTGTTCCATTTTTAATAAAGACTTCTTTATATTAAGGAACATTAGGAAGGCACACCAGCCTCTGTCTCCACCTGTTTGAGACCATGAAATACCACTGCCAGAAGCCTACCAGTCATCTTGGCCCTGTCCTCAACTCCTCTTCCCCTCACCCCTTGCATACAGATCACTAACAAGGGCTTTCAGGTCTACTCCAAAACTCAGGAATTTACCCACTTCTGTCTCTGCTGCTACCTCATTAGTCCAGGGCAATGCAGTCTTTTGCCAGGACTACTGCAATGGCCTGTTCCTGGCTCCTGGGCTCCACACACTCGGTTTTCTTCCAGTTCCTTGAACCTACAAAGCTGTTTTGTTTTGTTGTTTTGTTTTGGAATACTCCTCCTCTGCACTATATCCCAGCCCAACCCTACCCTTCCAGTGACTTGCTTCTTCTTATCTTTTAGGTCTGGCCATCACTTCTTCATTGAAGATCTTCTTCTCTAAAGAATGATCTCCCCTTCCCCATATGCTGTTCCTCTCTCAGTTCCTGTTTGTTTTGTGTTGGCATGTTTCACAATTTGTAATTATTTTGTTTGTTTATTTCATCAGTCTCCCTCTTCAGAATGTAACCTCCATAAGGGTGAGAACCATATCTATCTCCTGGACCACCATATCCCACATAGGGTTGCCAGATTTAGCAAATACACATACAGGCTTCTGTGTCTGTACTTGTACTAAAAATTATTCAGGGTTTATCTGAAATTCAAATTTACCTGGGCATCTTGTGTTTTATTTGGCGACCCTAGTTCCTAGGCCCTGATACACAGCCGACTCTCATTACATGTTGTTAAATAAAAACTTGATAGCATATCAAATTGCTACTAAGGCAACAAAGTGGGGGTGTGTGTGCTAAATCTACAGAACTAGAGTAGGGAAAAACACACTTGCCATTCTTTTCTGTTCTGATTTTCCTGTCTACTCTCTCCAAGAGAACGTAATCAGCTGACCCCCAAAATCTTGGACAGCCCAGTCGTCTGGGAGGGATACCGGCCACGGAGGGGAGCTGTTAGGAACAGCGTTTATACACCGTGTGCTACCTCAGTTTTGCTTGGCTCTGTGCTGCGCTGGGACATTAATCTTCTTTGGCCCTGATCTCCCCAGACTGTGAGCTTGATAAGGGAGGGGAGAGATGACTTCTTTCTTCTCAATCATTCACCCCCAGCGTCTCACTCTGTAGATGGCACATAGCAAGGACTCACTGAATGGTTGCCAAATGGACTGATAAATGAGTGAAGAGTAGGGGGGCTAACTACTCTGGTTTGACCAGGCCTGAGGGTTTCCTGAGACATGGGGCTTTCAGTAGGGAAATCAGGGCAGTTGGTCCCCTCGGTGAATGATGCTCACTCTTAGTGGCTGGGCTCTTGTCCATAATCATCTATATTGGCTGCTACATGACTATCATGATCAGACAGCCTGCTGGCCTGTCTGCCCATCTATTTTAGGATGATGCTGGATGTTTGGAGCTCTGCTGAACCCTTGTGATTCCCTATGCCTAGGACCTTGGCCTTGGCTTCAACCTCAGTTCATGGTCCTTCCTTGTGGCTTGGTCTTGTGGTCTGTGGTAAACACCCTGGATTTGCACTCCCAGAATAAAAGCATGCAGGCTAAACTCATGTGAAGGGCTCTTGATCTTGAGCTAATTTCATGGACCCCCAGTCCTGGCCACTATAGGTATTCTTCATCAAGACCTGATTATGACCAATTGCTACTTCCACAGAACACCAGTCAAGTGTTTATTGAGTAATTAAGCTGACATAGAACTTTTCAAATACATTTCTACAGATGTCTGAGTTACTTGCCTGTGAAAAAAATGAGTTCTCACTTTAACCAACCCCTCCCTCATACTGCCAGAGGGCAGGATTCTAAACAAAACCACACAAATCCATTTTCAATTATGGCAGCAATGCTCCAGTCTCAGTTAGGTCCTGCTGGTTTCCTGGAATTGGGGGTGAAGTGGCTCTTGAGAGGTTCCCAGCACTTATAGTAGTTCTCATCCAAACAATTAGAAGTCTTGAGCCCCCACTTGGTGACGGCCATACTTAGAGAAGACTCAAACATAAATGCCTGTAGGAAATGAGGAGGGGAACAAGAAAGAAGTGAAGTGGATAATAAAACATATCTGATTCGGGGGGCGCCTGGGTGGCTCAGTTGGTTAAGCGACTGCCTTCGGCTCAGGTCATGATCCTGGAGTCCCGGGATTGAGTCCCACATCGGCTCCTTGCTCAGCGAGGAGTCTGCTTCTCCCTCTGACCCTCCCCACCTCATGCTTTCTCTCTCTCTCAAATAAATAAATAAAATCTTTAGGGGCGCCTGGGTGGCTCAGTTGGTTAAGCGACTGCCTTTGGCTCAGGTCATGATCCTGGAGTCCTGGGATCGAGTCCCGCATCGGGCTCCCTGCTCGGCAGGGAGTCTGCTTCTCCCTCTGACCCTCCTCCCTCTCATTCTCTCTGTCTCAAATAAATAAATAAAATCTTTAAAAAAAAAAAAAAAAAAAAAAACATATCTGACTCGATGTCAAGAGAAAAGATGTAGGTAGGCAGAATCTTTGAATAAGAAGTTATGTGTGCTAACACAGTGAGGACAGCAGGCTCACACCTTGGGTTCTGGCTCTGACCCCACCATGCAGAAGCAAGTGAGACTCGGTGCAAGGCTCTTAACTTCTCTGAGCTCCATGTTTCATTCTATAAAATGGAATTGGGCACGTAAGCCTCACATTGTCCTTTAGCGTTATGGAGCTAAATTTGCTACATCCAAAGGCAGAAGCAGGAGAGTTCTAGGAATATTCATCTTCTTAGGGGCCATCACTCACTGTGGCTATGTCCTCATGGGGAGGCCATACTCCCCATTTTTGTAGTGGAGGAAACTATGGCTCAAAGCTGAGAAATGGCTTGTCTTAGGTGATGGTAGCAAGAAGTGGAAGAGCTGGGATTTGAGTTTTCTTTTTCAGGACTTTGATCAAGAGATGGACTGGGAAAAGGTGAAGGAGGAAAAGAAAGAGTAAGGAGGAGGAGGAAGAGGAGGGAAGGAGGAAGCAGAAATGGCTGTAGCACTTTTAAAAACCCTATCCCAGAAGACTCTGAATGGTGGCTGTCCTGCTGTGTTCAGGAGGTTTCTGTCTCCAACAGAATGAATATGCAAGTGCTCAGTGCAGCTTAAATATTCCAGCTTCACCAATTGCTGTGGCTTTTAAAAATAAAAATAAAAAATAAAATAAAAGGAATAAAACCCTACAGTTCTTACATGTTCACATTACTGGAAATTTTAAACATATAGACTGGCAAAAGGAAGTTAAAGTTCTCCTGTGTCACAGCCCTGAGAACCTCTGTTAATATTTGGTGTCTAATATGCATTAGCTTCTTTATCCCTAGAACAATGGAGATGATTGTCTTTGCCTGACTTCCCATAACAGGCTTGATGTGAGGACCAGAGGAGATCATGTGGAAGTGCTGTGCACATTATAAAGCACTATTCAGATATAAGGGTTATTACTATGGCTGTTCTTGTTGTTGTGTCTTGGAGGACTCCTTCAGAGCCTTGCTGTCTGACTGGAGTGACAAAACCCCATTCCAGCTGAGCTGTGAAGACAGTATTATACAAAGTCTGTTTATTCCAAACTGGAATAAGGATAAGTATAGCTGGGCCTGGGTCCAAATTATATAACAGGAAATGGTGATGGAGACCCAGAGTTAGGTCTAGGTAAAGTGCCAGACACTCCTTTGCCAGGTAGTCTGGGCTCTCTGGCTACCTAGGGCATGCCCTGCCCTTAATCCCTTACATAGGGGAGCTCTTTCTGCCCTAGTGCTCCAGACCCTAGGCATTTCCCAAAGTTGCTTCTCATATAAACAGCCCATGTACCTCAGAGAGTCTTTGGAGGCAACAGCTTAATTGAGACCGTCAAGCCACATCTCACAGAGATGTAGGTCTCCACAGAAATTCTGCAAAGGCCCTTGGAAAGGGAAAGAGAGCCAAGGTCAAGCAGATGGGACTTTGCACCCTCCCCCTGAAGATCAGCTCCATCAACTCTGGTCCTGGAGTTGGGACTGAAAACAAACTTCATTGGATAGAGAGACAGGTAATGCTGTCTGTTTGCAAGCTGGGCATGGAGTCAGGCAGTTCTGTGCTATTGATTTTTTTTTTTTTTAAGATTTTATTTATTTATTTGAGACAGAGAGAATGAGAGATAGAGAGCATGAGAGGGAGGAGGGTCAGAGGGAGAAGCAGACTCCCTGCCGAGCAGGGAGTGCTATTGATTTTAAAGTCAGGTAGCATTGAAGGCATTTGTTGAAAAATGTAAAGCAAATTTGCATATGATTTAGCATAAAATTACTCCTTGTGGTCCATAAACTCCACCTCCAAGAATGCAAAAATAAAATAAAAATCAAGTACTGCAGCCAACTGCAATTGTGTTCAGCCTCAATGTTTATAGCCTGATACAGGAAGAATACAAAACAGGTTTTCAATCCCATCAATTTCATCCCATCCAAAAGAGAGCAAAAAAAAAAAAAAAAGAGAAAACAGCTGAGAACTGCTGCTCACAAGCCCTGACTATAGTGAGGCAAAGGCTTCCTGATCCTCCTTGGCTTGAGAACTCCGCTGAAGGTGACATCCTGCATCTCTGGGTACTGTGGCCCTGGAGGATTACCTCAAAAAGCAGATGATTCTGAGACACAGCATATATACTCTGGGCTGCATACAGATAGTATTGACAATATTCCCTTGTATTTGAACAGTCTATAAGGTTGAATATAGCCACCTGCTAGGGTGGCTACCACACCCAGTCTACAGATGGGGAAAGCGAAGCACAGAGAAGTTAAGTGACTTGTTCAAGGTCATGCAGGAACTAAGAGCTAGGATTTGATTTCAGGTCCGACTCAAGTCCAAAGAACTTTCTACCCCACCACATCAGAGGTCTAGTATACACATAGGGGTGTGTGCATACACACATGGAAATAAATACACACACAGACACACACTCTCCTCTCCTGACTCCTCTGTGTCTTTGGAGAAATTAAAAAAAAAAAAAAAAGCCACTCCTCTTGAGAAGGTTGGGAAGCCCAGAGGCTGCCAGAGCCTGGCATTTGATTTACTTACCATGGTTCCATCAGCAATCCTCTCAGGTGCCAGCTTGGCTTTGCTGGCCTTCTCAAAGCAGTCGGCATCAGGCCCATGAGGGGTCATTGAGCTGTGCAGGCTGCCTCCCCCTGGCAGGAAGCCACCTTGCTTTGCCTCATAATGACCTTTGATAAGTCCCATGAATTCACTCATGCAGTTCCCTGGGAAGGTTGAAAGAGTATTAGTTTTATTATCCAAGGCAAGACCTGTAAAGTACCAAGACCTCTCAAGCATTATTTCTGTGGAATGCCAAGAAGATAGGAGAATCTGATAAATTTTTTAGGATTACTAATGAATACAGATAGGGGAAAAAAACCCCACAAAGTATTCATGAGTGTGAAACTCTTGGTAGGCAAAACTCTACTTGATGGACATGTGGATTATTAGAGGTCTTAAATTCCACTGCCTGAAAGAAATAGTGTTGGCTCTAAAGAAAATCATGGCCCAGACAAGAATTTTAATAATAATTAAAATGAAAGTTATAATAAAGAGTAGATGTGCTCTATCACCTAGGCTTATAAGTTCTGTATTAAAATCATCTTCTTTCCCAGATCTGATCTGCTCCTCCCTCAAATAGCCCTACAGTAGTACATGGTATCACCATATTTCTGGTTCCCAATCCAGAAAACCGAGATGGGGTGTGTGTGCGTGTGTGTGTGTGTGTATGAATGTGTTGATGGAAGAGTCATGTAATGGAAAGAACCCTGGACTTGGAGTCTATTATCAAATGATAATCTGTGTGAAAAAATCTCAGTAGCTATAAAAACCAGTCCATAAATGCTATATAGCCTAACAAACATTATCTTCTGTTTCTGAATCTATCATCTTATTTTCTACCCTCCAAAATGCTTCTTAGATTCATTCTTTTCTTTCTAGTTTCACTGATATTCTCTTCATAGAATCCTAAAATTTTAAAATTGGAAAGGATCACTACTTCTACTCAATACAGAAGAATTTCTACATCCTTCCTGACAGATTAATTCCTGGGGTCTGCCTGCATGCCTCCTGTGAATGGAAGCTCTCTACTCAACAAAGCAACCTACCATACTATTGAAAAGCTCTGGGTGTTAGAAAGTTCTCTCATATTAAATGGAAATTTGCTTTAATCTAAGTTAAGTACATTGGTCTTAGTTGTGCTTTCTGGAGTCAGCAAAATTTGACAAAAATCACCACGTTCCCACATATGTTTTTATCGAAATAAAGCTCTTTACTAGAATAGCAACACACTTAGGGCAAGAATTAAAGAAATACAATACCTGAGAAAGTTTAAGTGCCTTTCCATTCATTCACCCACCTACCCATCTGTCCATTCGCCACCCCATCTGTCTGCCTATCCATCCATCCACATATGTAATTGGACACTGTGCTAAGTGCTATGATGGAGATGAGTAAGAAATAGCCCATCTAAACTTACTCTCATAGTCTGTCCCATGAGAGGGCTGAGAGTGCAGACCACGAACAGAGCAGAGAGCTATGGCATTGGCAACCCTTGCAAACCTGGACATTTGGCATGATAGATGCCCCAGCCTTCTTCCTTACATGTGAAGTATAACCAAGTGCCAAAATATTTCTGTCATTGACTAGGCAGCCATATTCATCCTGCCTAGGAAACAAAATGCTGCTGCAGGCCCCTGTAGAAAAAGTAAGACCCAGATCATAGCTCTACTCGTTTCTCCATGAAGCGGAAATAGAGGAAAAGAAGCAACTGTAAGCATAAGGTGTCTATATTTTAAAAGCAGTTCTGCTCATGACTGAAATATGTTGTCACACTCCTCAATCTAGGATGTGTCCTCAGGGTCACCTTCATGGCTTACTTTTAAGAAGAGAGCAATGCAGAATTCAGCTTTGATCTGAATACGAATTTAGGTAGCAATGACTTTGGTGATGACATTTCTATATCATTTTCTATACCTCAAAGGACATGTGGAGGGTCGACCTTGCCTCTCTGATTAATGCTGAATCCAGTTGACTCAAGTACATTAAGATGACTGGAGACAGTGTTTCTACAGAAATAATTCTCCACTTCTATAAAGTTACATCAAAGTAGCAAAGATTTTGATTATTGCTAAAGCAATAGTTTTAATACCTCTGGAAAAAAATAATTTTAACTTGGGGTTCTGTGGTTTTTCCAACTAACTCAGGCAACCATACCTTTCTGATATCTATCTATCCTGGGCCAAAGGTACTTGAGAGTCTTCTAAAAAATTATAAGAGCCATTTCACAAGGTCATTTGTTTCAGGCAAATGAACTACAAACCAAAGTGGCTTGAGAGGTGTAGCACAATAGCAGACTTGTCTGAGTTAGATGGCTCTGTTAGCCTTCTCCCTGGGCAGGGAGACGAGCCGCAGGCCAGCGCCTCTCAATATATGGCCTGTGGACTCCTCTGACTTGCTAACTCAAAATGCAGATTCTGAGGTTCCACCTCAGAACCAACTAATTATACTCTCTGAGAGTGGGCGCTGGGAAGACTTTTTTTTTTAGGAGGCATTCTAAGTGATTTTTAGATTCCTACTGTTCTCAAAGTGTGGTTCCTGGAACAGCAGCTTGTGGGAGCTTGGTACAAAGGCCAATTCTCAGGCCCCACCCTAGACCTCCTGGAGCAGAAATTCTGAGGGTGGGGCCCAAGAATCTGTGTTTTAACAAGCCCTCCAGTGACATTGACACATATGAAAATGTGAGAACCTCCACCTCAGGCCCATAAAGCAGCCTCAACACAAGAACTAGGTGAAATAGTGAGTTATCAAGGACGGGCATGTGAGGTACAGGCTAAGCTAAAGCAATTCTCTCTCCTGGACAGCAGGTCCTCTCGGGGACTAACTTCCAGAACACTCCTCAGAAAAGATGGTAGTTTGTTTTTATTCTATTTACAAAGTATCTGGTGTCTGAAATGCACCTCAGAGTCTTTCCAGGACTCTAGGTACAAAAATGCAATCTTCAGGAAGTGGAATTGTACTTTGACCTTTAGGTTGGATTTACGGCCAGCTATTGGACTATTAAAAATGCCAACTTCATTAAGTGCAGCCGTGAAATACCTTATTCATTCTTGGTGATGCATTTACTAATTAAATAAATGTTTATTAGATGCCTGTTGTATATCGGGCACTGTGGTAGGCACATCGGTTAGTGGTTGTGAGTGTGTGTGCGCTCTAGCATCAGATTGCCTTCGATTAAATCCTGACTCCACCACTTAACTAGTTATTCGGTCTTTCCAAATTACTTAATCCCTCATGCCTCAGTTTTACCTTCTGAAAAAAAGGGGATAATGATACTACCTCCCTCTTATAACTGTGTTGAGGATTAAATGGTTTAATAGTTTTAAAGAACTTATAACAGAGCCAAAGAAAATGGTCAATGATTGTTAGCTGCTAGTAATAATAAATAAAATAAAAATAATAGATTTAGTAAGTTCTGTTCTAGGCAACAAATGCTCCATAGAAATTGCATCCAGGGCGCCTGGGTGGCTCAGTTGGTTAAGCGACTGCCTTCGGCTCAGGTCATGATCCTGGAGTCCCGGGATCGAGTCCCGCATCGGGCTCCCTGCTCGGCAGGGAGTCTGCTTCTCCCTCTGACCCTCCTCCCTCTCATGCTCTCTGTCTCTCATTCTCTCTGTCTCAAATAAATAAATAAAATCTTTAAAAAAAAAAAAAAAAAAAAAAGAAATTGCATCCAGAATGGGGTCCATTCCCTAGTGTGGGCTGCAGTCTCTTTTATTCCACCAAAATAATTGGAGAAGGCACATTTTACTGGCTCTTGAACCAGGCTTAGGTAAAGAGCTTTCCCAAAACAAAAAACTAACCAACAACATCCCACCATTCCCTCTCCCCCAAAAGAAGCATCTGAAATGTAAAGAAATGTCTTGCTTCACACTTTATCAGCCTTTCTGCCTCTCCTCAGGGCCAGAGGAACTGGGCTGTAGGCATTATTTCCTTCTCAGAGTCAACACATCACTGCCATCTCCACGGAAGTCATGGTGTTTCAGCAACTACAAGTCTGGGGAGCAGCACTAGGGCCTCTGGAGACAGGATCCTAAAAGCCAGCACAGTATGGTGTCCAGGGACACCATACTGTGGTATTCCCAATGGCTAATGTTCAACACTTTGTGGTCTCTTTGGTTTCCAGTGTGGCTTGGTAAAATAGAGACTTACTGTGGTAATAAGGAGGCCTGAAGGTCTTGTCAGCAACCCCCCATCGAGGTGGGAAGATGACAAAATCAGCGATAGCCACTCCGGGGCGGACAGACTTGGCGGTCAATACTGTGAAGATGGATGGATCCTGTGAAAGCACAAGGAGACACCGAGCCCACGATGGAAGGGAGGTGACTGGACAATGGTACACATGTCACCCACACTGGAAGGGGTTTCCAAGTTGACTCTAGGTTGTTATTTATTTATTTATTTTTAAGTAGGCTGCATACCCATCGCAGGGCCTCTCGTGGAGCCCATCATGGAGCCCAAACTGGGGCTTGACTTCACAACCCAAGATCAAGACCTGATCTGAGATCAAGAGTCCGAGGCTTAACTGACTGAGCCACCCAGGCGCCCCAACACTGTAATTTCTGATCAAGCCACACAGGCCAAAGCTAAGAAGTCTGGGCTTGTCATTGAGGTGTAGAAATCACTCATCTGACTTTCCCCTCTTGCTTGAAGCAAAATGAATTAACACCAGCTAAGAGGATTTGGAGTTGCTTTCTCACCCTGCTGAGCCCCCATTTCATGCAAGTGTTACCCTGTGGGTCTGAGAACCAGTCGTGCCTGCCTCCCAACCTCAGGTCAGGGTGACAAGAGCTGGGATGTGCTGCAGGGAGTTCTCAGCAGAAGGGATGCTCAGAGTGAGGTGGAAATAGAAATAAAATAGTATCCAACTCTTGGTATAGATGTAGGATATGCTTCTCTTTGAGGGCATCACAGAGATTCCAGATGGTATCCTCATTGCTTTCCTTACCCTTGTTTGACTCTCAGGTCTAGAATACACCACTTACATCATTAGTTTGGGTGGTGGTAATGTAGAGGGCATAGGCCGGGGGACAATATTGTGATTTTAAAAGAACTTTAGAATCCTTCAATGGAAAGACTGAGATTCAATTTCATTGAAATCAATGATCATGTTTCCTTTCACATGCCATGCTAGGGTCTGGGATTCAAAGATGGTTGAGAACTATTCCTTGCCCCTTTAGCATTGTTAGTGATGGTAGTGTGGGGGTCCTGGAGGAGTCATAAAACAGGTGTGTGAACAACTGACCATGGCAAGGTGCCAAGGGCAATCTAGCTTTATAAATAGAAATCCAAGGGAGTACAGAGGATGCCACCTACCTGAGAGGATCAGGGAAGGCTTCAAAGAGGGGGTGATATTTGAGGCAGTTTTTGAAAAATGAAAGGAGAAAGAAAGAAAAAGGGAGGCGGGAAGGAAAAAGAAGGAAGGAAGGAGAGAAAGGAAAAGGCATTTTAAGCACAGAAAACAGGAAGGACATCAAAATGCACAGAGATTTTGTTAAGAGGCAGGAAAGCTAAAGCCCAGAATGCACTGGCAGAAGGCAGAGGGGCTAAGAGTTGGTACTGGAAAAATGAGTCCAGGGCCAGATGGTGGAGAGCATCAGATACCACGCTTCAGAGCTCAGACTATCCTAAACCATGGGGAGGCTGCACAGATTTTCTAATGCAGCGGTAGAATGATCGGACCTGGATTTTGGAAGAATACCTGTAGCAGCCGTACAAAGATTGGCCCCGTGCAAAGGCAAGCCAAAACCCCAACCCTATCGCTGTGAGATTTTACACTTCTTCCTCTGTCTTGAGAAATGATCTGAAACTGTTAAAGAAAAGGTAGTGAGGCTCAAATAAAGCTCTATCCGTGTCTCTGGATCCTTTTTCATGCTGTTTTGGGCTTGATGCCTCATTTTCTTTTCCCTTTTGGTTTTGTTACGAGTTGTTGCTCTTCAGAAAGGTAGTTTTGTCCCCCTAGAGATAAGCTGAACTGACTCAGAGTAATCTTTCTGTCTCTGGTTCTCTGGCTTCTGCTCTAATTATCCCTCCAGCTTTTGGGTTAAGTTAATCTATTATGAACTAGGCTGCAAAATGAACTTTCCCCCAGGATCTCAGAATGGAACACTTTATCACGAATGTGGGGCCTTGGGGGCTTGCCCTGTAGACCAGGGGCTTATTTGTGGCCCTCTAATTGAGTGAAAAATATCACCGAATTCACACTTTAGAACTTATGTGTTTTAAATTCAGGCCCTGAGCATTCTGAGGAACTTTAGAAGAGGGCTGTCTGCTCCATCACGGCTAAAAATAGCCAGGAGTGGAATACCGGAGTAGGAAGCCGGACCGAGCAGACTCAGCATTCATAAGCAGGACAGAGAACTTTCCAAATCCAGAGCTGTCTCTTTCTCATCACTTTATCACCAACATTAGCAGTTGGTTTCTTTGGGGGATACATTTGCTAAGGAGAAACTAAGTTTTTGGCCATCTATGGGAATTACTGAGATACTCGGTGTAAGAACTAAGCTGTGTTCAAAGCTGAGTGTTGCATGTCAGGCTTGGCTCCCCCAGTAGCTTGTTATTTACTCTGTTCCCCAAAGCCTGGCTGCAGGGGATTCAAATTCCTGTCAGCGCAATGATGAATGACTATATCT